CCCGCCGGTGGGTGGGTCTGAGCACTGGTCCAGGGAGCGCCCTGTGGGTGTTTCCTCTTTCGCTGATCAGCGGCTTTTAGACTCTGGCATTGCACAACCAGGTGTGCCAGAAAAACAGGTGCATTGCCAAATACGGGGCGCGCAAACTCCGGTGCAAGGCAAAGGGCGGGGTTTTACTCTGCTCAGCAGACGAGGAAACAGGTTTAGAGGAAGAAAAGGACTTGCGCAGGTCGCAGAATTGGGGCGTTCCCGAGTAGGCCTGGAACCCCAGTTTGCTGAAGCCGGGGCTGTTCCTGCATGGGCGCTGCTCCACCCTCTCTGGATGAGCTCTCTAACTAAGGGTCAGGACTGGCCCTTCCAGTTGCAGAGCCACCTTCTCTTCTGCTGTTGTCCCATCCTCCCTGCGGTTCCTTCATGTTCTTCCTCTGAATGGAGCCTGCTGCCTCTCTCCACTCTCTTCCTTTGGCCATTATTTACCAGGCTTCCCACGTGGGGTTTCTCTGCGTCCTCTCTGCTCTGTGTTGGACAGCTGTGGAGAGACTATGGGCTCCATGTGCTTGTTCTAATTCCGAGTCTCCATCCCTAATAATGTATGACCTGTCATACTTCTTACTTTCCTCATCTGCCACATCAGGATGACAATCCCTTGCCCAGGGGCAGTGGAGATACCACAGGTAAACCTGATAAATGGTCACTCTGGATAAATGGCAGCTCCTATCCCTCCCCCATGGTTCCCATCCCATCCTGCACTCCACCTCCGGTCCCAATTTTCTTGCTCTGACCAGTCTTCCTCCCAGGACTGGTCCCCTGACCGCTAGTCTGGAGGCTGGGTGGTGGTACTCCCTATGCAGGGGCTGCTAGTCCTCTAACGCTGGGGCTTTTGCAACAGGTCTGGGCTTCAAAGTCCCTTCTGCTCCTCATTCCACCTGAGGCTGAGCTCCTGTGAGCCCTGCTGTTTCGTCTTCTTGAAAAATAGACCAGCATTTTCAAAAGAAGAAATAGGGACAAATAGTAAACTTGGAAAAAAATATTTGACTTTAGCAATACAAAGGTAAATAAAAACAATATTCTGGTGCCATGTCTCACCTGGCAATTTTTAAATATAAAATTTAATAAATTTAATAATTTTAAAAAATTGCTAGTATAGGGGCCGGCCCGGTGGTGTACTGCTACACTCCCGCCGAGGGTTCGGATCCCACATACAGACCGGCCGCTCACTGGCTGAGCGAGGTGCGGGCGCAACACTGAGGGTTGCGATCCGTTGCCGGACACGAAAAAAGACAAAAAGGGAAAAAAAAATTGCTAGTATAAATTGCTGATGATCGTGAAATAAAACTTGTTCTTTTACTTGCTTGGGGATATAGGGGATGGATTCCTAGAGGGAATCTGGTTTTATTTTTTAAATTATGGAAACATATACTTAACATAAAGTTTACCATTTTAACCATTTTTAAGTGTACAGTTCAGTGACATTAAGTACATTTACACTGCTGTGCAACCATCCCCACTATCCCTCTTCAGAAGTTTTTCATCATCTCAAATTGAAACTCCATACCCATTAAGCAATAAATCCCCCTTCCCTCCTCCCCCTAGTGCCTGGCAACCACCATTCTACCTTCTGTCTCTATAAATTTGACTACTCTACGTACCTCATATAAGTGGAATCATACAAGATTTGTCCTTGTGTGTCAGGCTTATTTCACACACGTAATGTCTTCAAGATTGTCCTTGTGTGTCAGGCTTATTTCACACACGTAATGTCTTCAAGATTCATCTATGTTGTACCATGTGTCAGAATTTCCTTCCTTTTTAAGGCTGAATATTACTCCATTGTACATATATGCCACATTTTGTTTATCCATTCATCTGTGGATGGATACCTGGGTTGCTTCTACCTTTTGGCTACTGTGAAAATGC